AATAAAAGTTAAACTAAAAAGAAAATGATATACAAAATATTATAAAAAAATTATTTAAAAAGATATGCAATAATCCAGTTAAGCTTAGATATAACCTTGGTTTTTTCTAACAMTGCTCTTATTGTTGTTGTTATTATTTTTGAATGTTTGTGCAATGCGATGCGAACTGTTAGGTGTTTGGCCAAAATAAATGATTATCAGTATTAACTAATTGTCTGACAACAACAGTTGTGAAGCAAATACAACAAAAACAACAACAAATGAGGACAACATACTGAAGTTGTAGTATGCCATGGAGATAGGCGTGTCGGCGGGCATTTACACACGCCATAAACACAATTTATGAATAGGCGTTGCAAGGCATTGGCTACGAAATTTCGGWAATAAATTATTTAGAGAGGATAAAACTCGATAACAAATCAAAAATATACCAATGCGAAAATGCGTACAAAAATTAATTACAGAGATTCGGGGTTACAAATAATACATAAAAAAAACATTTAAATTATTTTTTTATTCTGCAATTACAAATACGGTATTCAAAAATTAAAAACATTTAAATTTATTTTTTTTAATCCCAAGCATATAGATAATTATTAATAAAAAAAACAACATATTTGTTTCAGAATGGACAAAAAAAAATATTATTTTCGATTTTTAATTTCTTCTTCGTCTTGGTTTGTATTAAAAATTTCGCAACCCTGTCGATAATACCCTCATTGATTGGCTGTAGTACCACGTTGAAATTCCAAAGATATGATTATCTATAATATAAACAAACATATAAATGCACATTTACAAACGTAAAAGAAAAAAATATGAGGCATTTAGGGTGAGCTCGGTGCGGAGCCAGAAATAGGAGAAAATTACGTCTCAAAGTACCTTGAGGGATTTAAAAATTAAAATAAATGCAAAATAGAATTATAACGTATATTTATACAACTTTWCAAGGTAAACAGCTCAACTCGATTTTAGAAAATGGTCTTTCAAATCACAACATCACTTCAAAAATGTAGACTTTTCTATAAAAAGTCACACGCAATTGCATATGCACTACATCTTTTGGAATAATTTAAAGTAATTTGCTTACTRAAAAGGTTTTGAAAGTTCCGAATTGTCACTTCCATATTTTAAGCTTTATTGCATTGCTATATTTCACACTCCGCTACGTGCTTAGCCTTATGTCGCGGTTATTGGTGATATCACGATCAATTTGTCAGCTGTAAAAGCAAAACCACACGCTTATCATTATGCTTGTTGGCTTATCGAATAATAACAAAACAAAAAGCAAAATCTACAGCCAATCAAACTTCATACCGCCAGAAGGTTACGGTTTTCTATTTAAAAGTATCGACATATTCAAAATTTATTTGTAGCTTTCTTATCACATCATGATAACAAAAATTTACTACGTAAACGAGCTAAGGAAATTTATTGAGCATAACTTTAGAAATCAATTGATAATAAAGTGTGTTGGCAATATTGCTATGGATATTTATTGTTAAGCTTTTAATATAACGTAGATCACGCTTGGGAAGACTTTTGAACAATGAAATAGTAGTAGTTTACGGTTTTTATTGCATAGCCTAAAAAATTATAACTTATCAGTTTTGCATACATAACGGGTTTTATTACATAACCTCGAAAATTATTTTTTTTGTTTAGCCAGAGAGACCTTATGCCATTTTCCAAATTACCATCGATTCAAAAAATGTATCACTGAGCAAAATTTTACAAAAGGTATATGGAACATAACACGATCAAGCAAACGTCGCGAATATTATAAGAGAAGTCTAGAATTTAGATATAATGAGGATTAGAGCTGCCAACTAAAAGCRAAATATTCTCTACACTGGATCAACCGTTGTTCGAAACATATTTCCTGCTATAATTAGACCCAGATTTGAACTCACCACACTCTTCACGGTGTTCACGCACTTAAACAATTCTCTCTCAATTACCATTTAAACAAATTTGTTCAAAATACCAATCAAGTAATATTGAATGGCGTTAATTATTCAATGTCATTGCGAAGTTCAACAAATTAAGGGTGAAAAACTTAACGCTGCCAATGATTTAACGTAATTGCTGAGTATTACTATATATAGGAATCCGATGTAACGTATGTACATATGTATACCATGTAAATGTATGTATATGCGTAATATTTTAAAGTTTTATAGCATAGCGAAGAAAATAACTGAACCGCGACACGTGTTTAAAAAACTTAATCGATATAATTGTGCTTATTATATTGCCTATAATGTCTAGAACGTAAAATATAATAAAATTATGTTTTTATTTTATTTCCAGCTATCGCGCAGTAGGCGTAAGTAGTACGTAAGGTAAGGGGAAGAAAAAAATGGATTTGTAATAGAATAGCTGCGGTATTAGCAATCATCAAGACGATAATTTTACATCGAATAACTTAACATATATACATATATACATATGTAAATATTCACTTATATACAAGAATATATAGTATTTCACAATTTTTTATACCCTGAACAGTTAAGTTTGGCACGAAGAAACGTCGGAGACCCTGCGTCTGTTTGTATATACGCGAACTAGTCCCTCAGTTTTAGTCGTTATAGATATCGGAATATTATATCCAGGTTCGGTGCTACGAAAATTAACGATTTTGGTTTTGTTTTGTGTTAGAAATATGTACGAGCACCTTACATAATGTATATAAATATAATTATGGCAACATTTCTTTTGGAGAGGTTTTATAAAAAGCATTATGGCAAATAGTTTATAAGCTTTAACGCTACTCCAATCAAATGGTACAGCAGCGGACAGCAAGAATGTCAACGCCTTCATTTCCTGACTACTTTCTTCAATTGATTCACTTATTCTGCCATTCATACTGCCCCTTAGACTTTTGCATTCAATTTTCCGCTTGTCAGCGCATAAACACTTCAGCTACATAAATACAACTTGGGAAACATTGAGTGAGTGTATTCAACGCCCATTTGACAGTTAACTGTTGACAGTTAAGTCGACTTCCCAGGCGCACATTTGCACGCGTCTTGTTGCACATTGATAAAAAGTAGGCAAATRTATGTTTATATAATAAAATATACGTGTGTGTTTAAGTTATGTATGCCGATATATGTGTGTACGTGTTATTATGGGTAAATACCTCATAGCTGCGCTTTAGTGACTGATACTCCTGCACTGTACGTGATACATTGCGTTTGAGTGATGAGATCTCTTGGATTTCATTATCCAAAATTTGCTTCAGACGGCGCACCACTTCGTTCTCCGTCTCCAGTTCATTGTCGACGATGCATTCCGCAATTGACTTCTCAAGTTCGCCTGCAATTGAGTAATACAACATTTAGTGACTAAATAGTTGACTGTATTGTAAGTGTACATATACATACATATGAATGTGTATATATATATATATATATATATATATGTTTATCTTATAAATTACTGCACATATGCGCACACAAGCTTGCACTTATGCACATATGTACATACTATTTACATTTGTAAAATGTAAGCATGTTTCGCATGAATAGTAGCAAAACAAAAAAGGCCAAAAATATAGTCGAAGAGAAATAAACTGACGAATGAGCAATAAAAGGGCAGTAAAGCTGCTAAATACGAGTAAACTACATAATTAACATTTGCATATATGAATCTGTGTATATTATATATTTGAACGTGTGTAGGTGATGTATGTTTGTAAGTGGAAAAGCAATGAGGCAAGAAGTCACAAGTGGTTGCGAACRAAAGAATAGTAAATGCGATGTTTTTAAGAATGAGCTGTTAAATAAAGAAGTATGTTTAAATATAAATATATGTATATAGAATCAAAAACGTCTGTTGGAACAGAAAAATACTCAACAAGGCAACTTTTCACTAAATAATATTTAAAATGCGGACAACAAAATATTGGAGTTCCCACAATACTTGTAACAAAATAATTTAATTTATACTTTTCGTTAGGGAAATAAACCGATGTTCGAACACAAATATATTGATTTTAAAGAAAATGTTTTCAATTAGCGAAACGTTTAGACAGATTTCCAAAGGATCATATGAGGTAGACAAGAAAACGAAAATATGCACATAGATGGTATAAAGAGTAATTTCATATATACAATACATATCCTTAGTAATTCATGACTAAAMACACTTCGCAGCTGGAAATGACCAAAGCCAGCCATAGTCAATAAAATGACATGCAATGCCTAGCTTCGAGGAAACTCAACATCATCATAACCACTCTCCAACGCCTTACAACAACAAAGTAAAAGCGATTAAAAATTTGCAACGCCAAAATTAGCAGTTGTAATGGATGGTTGGACACAAACACCAACTCAAAGTGTAAGCTTAAGCGCAGGCCGAATGTATGAGTTTTTTGCAGAGTAACTGCGACGGCAGCTGAGTAAGTAAATGATGAGTGGCTATTTAGTAGCTTGGTTGACTAACAAGCTGCCAGACTGACTGTCTATGTATCTGCTAGATGGATGTGTTACTTATGTACATATAAATGATATGTTAAAAAACGCAAAACTGTTGCTGCCACTACTAGTAGTATGGGACCGAAATGCAATTCCCACCATGTGGCTGAAAGCAAGCTTCTAGCGTGAGTTTTGGTTGCATGCCTATTGGCAGCTGAACAACAACATACAACACTCGTTCACATAAATGTATATGCATATGTACATGCATATATGTCGAGACATTCATAAATATATATTTATCTACATTTGTAGCTCTATTTTGATGTTATTGCTGCTCTCCGAAATTGTTACATAATTAGCAGTAATATAATTTGGTCATAATAAAAAGTAAGTCAAGAGTTTAAAGGCTTAAGCGGTTAAGAAATGATATAGATGAGCTAAGAACCGGGTATCCAAACATATGCATAGTAACGTCACAGATTAGTACATACAAGTGTATTGCTTTTGCTGTTGTATGCCGTGCAAAACAAAGAAAATAAAATGTAGTAGTAGTGGGATAAACCTTTGAGATAATAAAGAGGACTTGGCAGCTTGGAGAAAATAAAAATGCATTACAAAAAAAAATATTTTTAATAAAGAGTTAATACACTTCTCTGCAAGTGCCAACCGAAATAAAAACTTAGCAAAGGCAACAAACCTTTACAACCTTTAGAAAAGGAAATTGAGCATTGTGTTTCCCACTTGCATAAAATGTCAGCGATATGTCGACACGAGACAGCTWTTCGCTGACTAAACACAACAAGGCCAAGCGCAGCAAAGGCGAGGTCAACGCCAGTCCCACACTCATCGCACTTGACCACATGGTTTGTCCAGTGCTACAACCCAACACATTAGGTCAATCGTAAAAATCATTCCAAATATATGAAAAAAGCAACAAAATTTCGACGTGCCTTTCGTCCCGTGATCTACATACATAATTGTTTGCACAACCACAGTGTCTATGCATGCCGTAAATGGACATAAATGACAATATATACTTTGAAAGCAAAATTCAAGGGGTCACACAAACTTCGGTCATATATAAAATATTCTTTGATTAATACAATGAAGACTTTTGAAGGTACTGTTTTGTAATTCTTTACGAACTCGACCACTCCTTTTTTTTGCGTGTGTAAAAGTCTTTTGAAATTTATCAGTTAAATTTATAAATTACACAATCACAACATTAACATTTTGCCTGAAACAAGTCTACCTTGCCCTCTTCTACTTGTAACGGTCAGCACACAATCTTTACATATTTTGTTTTATTGCAATATACGCACCACAATTAGATAAGACATGATGTAACGGCATTTCTTTGTAAAGATCCTTGGATGACTCCTCTAGCGCTTGCCCAATCTTGTAGTGACTGTTCTTTTTGATACGTTTATCACGATCCTGTGTGTCGGTTGAGGAACTAGCTCCCGGCAATTTACGTACCATTTTTTCCAGTACATCTTTATACTTGTCAACTTGTTTTTCAATTATTTCCAATTCGGAATCCTTCAAATCGGATTTATTTGATCTTCAAGGGATTTTCATGGAAAAGTAAGAATTAAAAACATAAGACTCGACTTGCAAATTTTGAGTATATGGCGTAGGGCTAGTAGCAATACATAACGCATTAGCAAAATGCCGACACACCCTTCCCTTTTGGCACACAAATTAAAGAAAAGGTATAATCTTTTTACCCTAAAGCAATACCAGCCAATGCGGCCATCTATGCTTTAGTAATCTCAGTCCTTTTACGCATCGGCATCTACACATATACATACACTTGTATAAAACACAGTGCCACACCATTGTGTCTAGCCCATGCCTTATGACTTTGTGCTATCCAGCCAACTTCCAAAGCTTACAGCACTCACCTCCCCAAATTTTCAGCTGCAATTTTTATTTTCGTGAATTGTTTCTTCATTTTTGCAGCACTTCACAATTACACCGCAACCGATATTACTTTTTCAATCGAATAACTGTGTTTTGGTTTTTTTACACTTCAATATTTCGATATTTTTCTTCAATTTTTGCAGTAAACATAAAAATTAGTCATCCTATTCTTCTATCACCAACGAATGCGAGCAATCAACTCAAGTCTGTGAAGCTTTAAGAGGTATGTTCAATGGCGATATGACGTTTAAGGTAATTGGGTAGGGTATGTTAAACGGACCATATGACCTTCTAGGGCTTAGTTTACCATATTTAGTAGTGGTATAAATAATTATGGTTATATTCCATTATTGAAATTTATTTCTTAGTATCAACTCGTATAATAATGTATTGTTTTTATATACATCCATTTAATTTTTGCTAGATACTTGAATACAAATCTTTCTAGTTCTCGGACTAATTTCTTTCAGTGTATACTGTTGATAATTTTATGAACATACGTTTGTCAAATTTGACAAATCGATCTGCTTTCTTGTTCTTTAATGTTTTCACTTGGAATCAAAGGTGCACGTGTAGAGTTATAATATAAAAAATATTAATTTGTACGGAATACATCAAATTGTCCGTAATGACAATACAACTTGATAAACGGGGCTTAATGTCTCTAATGCGGACAGAGAATGAGCGTATTATGGATATGTTACTTACTTATAATGTGCCGGACTCAATTGAAGGTATGTAAATGTAGTAGGCATTGAGAAGAAAGGTAAATATTATGTATTAATTACCTTTCTAGACATCGAATATGATGATTACCTGCTGAATAACGAAAAATCTGCTGCAAAAGCCAAAAATGCGCTGGATGCGCGAAAAGCAACACCAATTGACGAATTGCAGGATCGTCTTAATATTATCAAAAACAAGATGAAAACCAAGAAGCGTCCCGCGTCAGAGCGTTCACTAAAGAGACGTGAAGCAAAAAAGTTGAGAAAAAATAAGGAAATTAAAAAAATATTGGTCTCCGCGGCGAAATCAATTAAAAACGAAAATCAAAAACATGGAAATATGCGTGAGGGCGACAACGAGGACAAGAAAGATATTAAGAAAATATTACCAAAACCTGTCTTCAATGAGGAAGGTAAAATTGTATTTTCTAAATTTGATTTTGCGTCTCATCCCGGTGCCAAAGTAAAGAAATCACATCAAAATCCTCGCGAAATTTTGAAGACAATAAAACAAACGGATAAAAAAATAAACGAACTCAAAGAACAAGGTGAAGTAGAGAAAGCCTCTGAAATAAAAAGTGAAATGGCTTGGAAGAAAGCCTTTGATAAAATTGAAGGCAAAAAGGTGAAGGATGATCCGAAGTTGTTGTATAAGGCCATTAAAAAACGAAAGAGCGAGAAGAAGAAATCTAAGAAAGATTGGGTGGAACGTAAACAAAAGGTTGAGTCGGGCATAGAACAGAGACAAAAGAAACGGCAGGAAAACATCAACAAACGTATCAAGGATAAAAAGACCAAGAAACTGAAGAAGTTATCCAAAAAGGGACGGGTGATACCCGGTTTCTAATGTAGTTAAGCAGTTATAATTAGGATCCTAATAAAATAAGTATAAAAAGTACATAAAGCTGGCTATTCATTGAAATTTCATTCAAATAATATTTGTATTCGAAAGATTTTAGAATAAAATAATTCTTTCATAAATTTTCTATTATTTATAAAAATAAATTAATCTAAGTGCACTGAATTTGAAGTTAATAAAAGATCCTCTTCGTTATACTCCCTTCCAGTAGAAGCAACGAKTTAACCAATACATTACGTCACGTAACGTCCGTTTTATAGCAACGTTCTGAAAACATCTGTTTAGAACTTTGCATATGAGTTCGGCTTTTACTGAACATACTGCAGATATCAGTTGCTTGTGATGACATTTCACTTTTGCATATGTGTGGTATCCTTTTCATATAATAATAATTCAGTTAACGCCGTAGCGAAATCATAAACAGTGTTGTATTTTGAAATATTGTGTTTGGTAATGTCATTTTATTTCTTGTAAACAACGTTTCAGATGTTCGTTTTTTGTACAGTTTATCGTTCTAGCTAAGATGTGTATTTTGAACAATTAATACTACTTTAACCTGCTATAACGAGAGTATTATCTTGCAGATTTTAAAAGTCCGCCAGTTGATATCAAAGTCAATTGCAACCCTATTCACAACTGTCTGTCAATTCGCAAAAGGTTTCGCAGTCGCAGCAGCGAAATAAAGTTGACAAAGACAGCAAGGCGAAAGAAACATCAAAAGTCAGCAGAGCAGTTGAAAATGAAGAAGTTTGCAAACGGTATAAAGATATAAATGCCAAGAAGGAAATAAAAAAAGCAAAGAAAAGCGGAGAGAACGAAAGAAAAATATATTTTGACAACGTTTTTTTCCATTCGCGAAACAAACTACGTCTTATAAAACAAAATAATCAGTTTAAAATTTAGCTGAAATACAAAATTGATCATAAAAAGATAGCGAAACACATATTAATAATCGTTGAAAGTGCAAAACAGTGAACGGGTTCGGGCAAAAAAGCCTGGAAGGTGACGAGGATCAACCAAATAAAACAGTAGCAACGAAAACTTACTGAGTACGATTCCATTGAATTCAATTTGCGTATAATAAATAATAAAGCTGAACTGATAAAACGCAAAGAGTTTTAAGGAGGTGTAAAAATAGACAAAGGCAAGAATTCAGCAGAACCATGAGTGTTGTACGACACTTCGTGCTACTGTCACAATTGCCTAGACTTGGACCAAATTACTACTGGTTAAAAGGTGAGTAAAAAATAGAAGTGTTAGACTAAAAATTCTATTTGAAGTTGCCCSTGAACTTTCTTACCTGGTGGTATAACCTAATCAATATGTCACTTTTATATGATATCTTGTGGGTCTTGAGCCCTACTTTTTTTGACCTTACTTGCTTTTTCACCTAATAAAAACTATGCATGGTTGTCTATTAAAAGCAGAGGGAAAACAATCCGTTTCCTACTGCGCCTCAATAGAATGGTATGCGCCATCAAGAATAACAAAAATATGTTTATATAATGTGCATGTATATAAAAGTGTACACATGAGTATAAGTATATATAAGAGTTGTTAGAATCAAAGTCTGTAAACAGCAGATCTTGWATACTTAATATGTTTACATGTACTTATTTACCTGATTTAAGTTTCTCAACATTTTATAACGAATACAAGCTGTATAACATATTTTAGAAGATAGCATGATATATACAATTTTTGGGAAATTTGTTACCAAGATATCGTACCTGGTATAAAATGTTCRCTACACTAATGTGTCCAAGTCAAACATTACAACAGAATACAATATATACATACATACATTTGTATGTACATAGATTGTTTTTTATTTACGTCAGCTATGTATTTGTGCAGAATATTCAGTTTTTCCCTTCTTCAGCCCTTTTCGTGTTGTTTTTCACTCAAGTATAAATATGTATTTTTTTACAATTAAATTTTCAAAGAAAATTGTCCGTTTCATTATGCAGTCACTCGTTAATGTAAGCATTTTTTTAATCATTTTACTTTAATTAAATTAACTTTTCTATCTAATAAAAAATATGTGATAATGTTCATGTTGATGTTGCGCTCCCTCTTTTCTTACAAATAATATAATGCACTTCTGGACTAGTTTGTTTAAAGTAGGTTGAACATTTCAGTGTTTATACATGTATGTACGTCTCAAGATTATACCCAAGATTTAGCACGCAACCTTTTATATCATTGGCTTGAATTGCCTGTCATACGCTTTATTTTAAGTATATACATACATACATACATACATATATAAAGCAGTAAGTTGATAAGTAACTTACAACACAAGTTTGAAGGTCAGATGAGCAAACTTTGAATTTTTAAATCCAATAATTAAGCAAATAAAAATCAAAAATATCAAGTGCATAAATTAGCTTAGTTAAGTATTAATATATCGTCACCTGAAATGCAAAATAACGTATCATCAAAAAATTCGAAATTGCGTGTCTTATTGATTACGCTTCTTTACATCAAATTACATACATAATATTCATATTACGTTATTTTGATTTTCAGGTGACGATATGTACATAAATATGTCTTGTATCCATATGTATCTTTATAAGCATTCATATGTACATATGTAAATTTTTCAGTACATAAATTTGCAAACTTCAAATCAAAACAGAACTAACAAAAAACAAGTCCATCAATTCACAGTAAGCGAAAAAGCTAGCGTCTTTCAAACCACTATCCTCCTCTCTTACTTTACCTTATCCAGTTTGCTTAGCACTGAGACAATTTTCTCAGATTTTTTTTTTTTGTGTTATAATCTTATAACTTTTTCGCGCAAAACCAATATGTGGTAGCAAACGCTAAGCAAAAAATAAAAAAATTAAATTAAATTAAAAACTAAAAACGAAACAAACAGCCACTACAAGCTTGGTCAAAATAAAAACCAATAAAGATTTAATTATTTTTAATAGAGACGCACTATTTGCGCGCCCAAATTGTTATGCACATCATCAAATATAGATGCATTTTGGTTTTCGCACAAAATRTTAATTTTTTATTTTGTTGCCTATCGTCTTTTTTCATAAAATTTTTTTATGGATTCCGTTAATATTTTATTATCTGTTGCTCTTCTTTTGTCACGTAGTACATACAATTCACCTAAAGCTCAGCCGATAAACAAACACTCATGCATGCATGTCAATTCTTAACGGTTATAAATATACAGTGTCAAAAACGGGTATTTGTTCGAATACCTCTGGTAATGAACTCGTCTCACGCGACCCTGTCACTACACACGCTATCAGGGTCTAAAATGTGTGCATTTTATTTTGGAGACCAGGCTAAGGCCAGATTTAATAAACGCTCGTTACATACAAAAAAGGGAAATGAACTTAAAGACAAGTTTCTATGTTTGGGGCTCTGAGTTGACAGTTTTAAACTCCATAATGCTTTCGAACCACCTCTGCAAGAAGAGTCCATATTCTATATCTTAGAAACGATTAAAATTTAATTTAAAAAACAATAGTGGTACAATTTAAACTAAGGTTCTCATATTTTCAGATAAATTCATACACATTATAATACAATGATTTATGTAATCAAATTGTGCAACCTCAGTAAATAATCATAATAAAAATCAGAACTTTATGCATACTYACATGCAAGTGCAGAGAAGCTTGATGCACGTAAAGTATCTGTTTCATTTTGCCTAACTAATTGAAACTGATTTTATTTGTTTATCAGTATTATTATTCGCGCTTTGCTCTGTGTTTCGTACAGTATCGTGCAAAGAAATAAACTCATTCTAAAAATGTTGAATAAATCTAAAATGCAATACATATGTACGTATGTATATTATACACACACACTCTAAAAATAATAAATATAACATGYAATAACATAAAATACAAAATCAGTTTTAAGGAAATCCATAAGAGGACCCTTTTAAGGTTAGTTTTGATCCTAAAATCTTAACGTATTTTGCTATTGTATTATGTCGAATTTAGTTAAATCTGCTATTAATACTTATTAATGCGAGTTAAAAAATATCTGAATAAATGAATTATATAAGTTGCAGTCATAACTATTTTTTTCTCATATACTTTATGTATGAACAGAAAAATCT